CGAACTTATGTATAAGTTCTAATTTCTCCAGTATTCTCAACCCATTTCCAACAATTTTTACAACAGTGGCCAACGACTGGCTCTATTGAAATGACTATTGGTTTAAAACTACGTGGAGTTGAAGGCTCGTATTTATACCTTTGGAAAGGTATTGAATAACGCTTTTAAAGATTATCATCATCATCGCACTGTGGTACAATACACATTACATATCGTAATATACATTCTACATTATCCATAAATTCTCTACATTAATCTCATTAGCAAATGTAGACACAATTATGTACATTAATTGGGTTCTTTGCTTAAGGACATATCCTCATACAACATGATCATGATACTGATTATTAGTAGTATCATTTGATAAACTCATCATTATTCATATTAGTATCAAATGAAATAATCAACATTATTATGACATTTGACATACTCCACAAGATTAATATCAATATTGCACGATAAATATCAATATCATTGGTTATATATTAAATTATATGCATAGCTCTGATCCTTCGATGTATTTGGCTCCAGTCTTTGGCGCCCCTTTTTCAGCCCTTCAAAGTTTATTTTTATATTATTATTTGAATATTTCGGATTTCAAAAGCTTCGGCATAGGCATCACTGAAGAGACAATTTGTCGAAATGTGTATTTGGTACATCGAGATTGGTACCGTGTATGATTTAAATACTCAATCCGATTAATATTAGTATCATTTTTATGTATCATACTCAACAGTCCACACGATAAATATTTAAATCATTTGACATATTCCACACAATAAATAATAGTACACACATGTGTCATTTAACATATTCCATATGATCTTCAGAAGTATCATTTAACATACTCCACACGATTAATAGTAGTATCATTTGACATACTCTCGGTTTACACGAACAACATTGATAATAGTATCATTTGACACACTGGACACGAATAATAATAGTTACTGGTATAATTTGACATATTTCAAACGATTAAAATAAGGTCTCCCAAGGTTTGTGGTTAAATATGATTTTTATCCCACGAGTTGTTTGATAAGTATTAGTATCATTTGGCATACTCCACACAATTTATAATAATTTCATATGACACATTATGAATATTAGGATTATTTGACATGCTCTCATTTGACACCATCAGCAATATAAACAATAGCATTATTAAACATACACCTTAAATGGTCCATTAGGTCGATTTCAGCGAAACTTTACTTTTGAATATCTCTCGATGATGAGAACCCTTTCAAAGAGACTATAATTAAGAAAAATGGGCGTTAAAACATAAAGTATTCTTTAAAGTAAACATTAGCTAGACGTATCCAATGTTGTACATAGCTTTATTTTATAAGATGAAATTTATGGAGATAACGAACAGTATTCAAGCTCAAAAGTCCATTAAACAATACAAAATAGGAGCAGAGCAAACACGGACCTCCAAAACATCAGAGGTCGGATCAGGTGCCATGGAGAAGTGAGCATCCCCTGCGGACCGGTCACACCCGCCGTGTGCTCCTTGTCATGATCGGGAAATAACGGAAAAATCCGTCGACAATTCAGTGTGTAAATAATGGCCTAACAATTAGTATGAAAAACGTCAGTCAGCATTTGACTCAATGATAAATTGTATTTGCTGAGAAGGTCATTGTATCGACCATAGAACTTACGAAATGATGACTTTAAACGAAACAGCTGATATTCTTGTTTCATCAACTTATTTGTCAATAATTTACCTCGTTTTAGAAATTGTACATACGTAGAGCATGCTCTTGCGTATCGAATCAACTGAGAGATATATACCCCGTATGCAGGTGATGAAGGTATATTGCTGCATAAGTATGGGAAGTTGACGATTGAAAAGTTAAAGTCATCACGTTTATCATAAAGCTTGGTTGTTAGATTACCATTAACGTCTTTTTCAAGTATAATATCCAAATATGAAACAGATGTGTCAGACTCTGTGGTATCTTTTATCTCAAGCTCACCAGGATATATCGTATCGACATAAGAATGGAAATAGCCATTGTCAATACGTCGTCAATATATCTAAATGTCGAGTTGAAGGTCATAGCGAGTGTTTTCTTCTTTTTACGTACAAGATTTTGGACAAATTCTGCTTCATATGATTACAAAAAAGGTCTGCTAATAACGGGGCGCAATTGGTACCCATGGGAATTCCAATAGATTGTTGGAAGACCTGATCTCCAAAAACCACATAGATATTGTCAATCAGAAACTCAAGCATCTTTTTAATGTCAACTTCAGAGTACTTGTATGATTTTGTGTTTTCAGTTAAACATTGTTTTGGGGGACAAGAAGGGCCATAGAGGATCAATATTTTTCCTTAGGAAGAACAAAGACTATCATTAATAGTTGTTAATTTTACACTGTTTTCATAATTATACGAATCCACTTCATCCGATTTCATCATTTTTACGTTAAAACCATTGTGACGTCACCACTGTTAATATGAAATGATATTTTATCAACTATGTCCAATGCATACATGTAAAGGAGTGAACATGCGATATGTTTATCACATGTTTACTCCTTTATTATAGTGAATATAGCTCATTGGATATCGTTTTCATGTCCACAGTTGTGACGTCACAATGTTTTTTATCTAGAGCCAAATTAACATATATTCAAATATTTGAACCTTTTCTTGAATAATTGTTCCTATCGTCAAATAATTGAACCTACATGTATCTCCAGATCAATTGAACATGGGTAAGATTGCATAAAAGATAGGTCTAAATGAATTAAAAATCGGTGTTAATAATTATATTTATCTCTAATACAGTAAAACTCCTTTAGTACGGACACGGATATAGCAAATAATGGATATAGCGAATTTTTTTGCAATCCCCGGCAATATTCTCAACAATTTTTGTGTCTCCTAGAAGTCAAAATAACAAAACTTACATCTTTTATATCGAATTTTCAAAGATCTTAATTTTCAAAATATTGAACTGACATTAATTTTGTAAGTATTTATATTTGAAACTCAATTCATTTGAAAAGTTTAAACTCCATGGTGAATTTTGTATTTTATACGTCCCTAAATACATTTGGTAGTCATAAAATTTATATTGCGAATTCCTTATGTACACTTTAAGAAATTCGTTATACGGATATAACGAATTACGGATATAGCGAAGTTAATTCACAGGTCCCCAGATCTTCGCTATAACCAAGTTTTACTATAGTTGAATTAAGGTTCAATTGAATTATAACTATCTTTAATTCACTTGAAGATAAGTACAGTTGATTTAAAGATAGTACAATTGATTTGAAGATAGGTATAATCAAAACATATCCACTCAGGATTTGAAGATAGGTACAATTCAATTATATTTCTAAGATTAATTTGCTTTGTGTTATTGAAAATAATGAATCCTACCTCTAACACAGACTGGAACGCATAAAGGATACATGCAGTTGTGACGTACCGAAAACAGTGAAGTTGTTATTGTCAGTATCTTTATAATTAATCTACCATGACTTGTGATTGAAGTTGAATATGATTTCTTATCCAACATCTCTGTTTATTATATTGCATGTGCGGATCTATAGGGGTTTGGGGGTCCGGTATGTATTGAAGCAAATAAAAAATACCTCTGGACCGCACCCGCTTTTTTAAAGCTTAAATTCTTAATCAAATTTATCAACAAATAAATATTTGCAGCAGATGTTTTGCTGAAAATTAGATAATTTGACTCAAATATCTTTTAATCCCATTCATTACGCCTGAACTCTTGTAAACAACACGTTTACTTATTTTGTGTTTCATCTTTATGCATAATGGATTATTCTAAGTCACTGAAGCTTATATTGTTGATTTGGAAAATTACAAAGCCTTGATACACTTATAAATGAAACTGATTTTTATAACTTCATTTAAAATTAAATCTCGAAGATAAAAAACACATGAAATGCTAATGCATGAGAAGAAAAGTCTCGCTGAGGCATTCAATCCTACATTTAGACTTATCGACAACATATTACCAATTAAAACTAGTTATTTTCATTCGGGTGTCGACTTGATGTATATCCCAGTGAACTAAAAAAAAGACACCAAAGAGTCTAGCGTATATGTTTCTTATTTAGACTTTTTAAGGACTGTAGACGTAACAACTAAACTATATGACGAACGGGATGACTTCAGCTCTTGCATCTTTCCATCATCCCTTATTTACATAGTTACTTGCCAATAACACATACAAATAGTGTTTATATCTCCAAGCTGATTCAGCAAGCAAGAGTATATAGCATGCCCCCAAATACAATCAATTTTTAAACGGAGACAGGATACTGACAAATTAGTTGGTGTTACAAGGTTTTTAATCTATTTCGTTTCAAGTCAGTTTTGTACATATTTTTAAGTCATTATAATTATCTCGTTTGCAAATATCACCTAGAGATTGGATTTTTTAACTGACATGCTTCTTACTAATTGTTAGGCCATTGTTTTTATACTGATTTTGACTATGGGTAGACTGTTTACATGTTCAACATATAGAGGATGATCGGTCGATAAGAGTTGAGTACTCCTACTAGGCAAATGATCCCACTCTTTTGATTTTTTCAGGAGTTCATGTTTTTGCCAAGTTCACAATCTGTAATGTTTACAGCATCTATGAAATCGATCACTGTTCATTATCTTCATCTTTTTCATTGTTCAAGGTTTTGCAATTTCTTTATTTGATATTACCGGATCCATTAATTTAAAATTGACATTTTTCTCTGAACGTGTTCCCAAAATCTACTTAAGCTGAAACCATAGAACTTCCAGGGATGGTAGTATTAGGCATTATGTTTTCAAGTCGGCAGTTTTATTTGCAACTGAAAATTATTTCAAAATTTAGAATTTCAATATTTTTTAATCACAATCAGAGCAGAGTACTCAGGTAATTACAATAACGAAATTTGTACCACCGACGAGAAAGGAAATTATTAATTAATCTTTGTGAATGTCATTATAGTTTGTAATCGGTGATTTAAACATTAAGCCCATTAACGACAACTTCCTCTAAACCCAAAGCATTTTTGCCGTCCCTGGCATTCCAATCGTCTGTTATGTAGTTAGGACGGACAATTTTCACAGTGACATACAATACATTCAGGAGAGGCCTGGCTCCACATTCTATTGTGTGAATTTTCCCAGTTTGACTTGGTCCAACAAATGTGCCACAAGTGTTCATCTCAGACCAAACGGAAGAGATTCCACCTCTTATTTCAACATTGTGGAGCCAGCGACCTGGAAAAAAAACAAACGACAAAAACCTCCCTCGTATTATCTGATATGTGAAAAAACACATACATGACTGTACAAGTTCTACATGTAACTAAGGAATTTGGAATTTGAAATGAATCAGATTGTCTCCATACTCCAAACGTTACCTTTGCATTCACTTAATAAAACATAGCAACAACTTAAAATGGTGAAGAGAGGGCATTCAGTAGAATTTTTGAAAATGCTCAATTTTTACCATGTCCGTCGCTCCTGTTGTGAAGAATCACGTTCTTTACAATACTGAGTGTTCCTAGAGCTATTGTCAACCATGGATAAAGTTCGAAGTCTGTGTGGAACAGAAGCCCTGAGTCAGCAAACCCGGTACGACCATCTACAGCATTGCTTGGATCCGAATATGGCGGATAGGGATAGATAGTGCTAACGGAGACATTCTTACCAAGCGCCAGGTTTTCCACTGAGAAAAAGAGGGGAAAACATTCATTACCCAAACTCAGGAGGAGTTAGGATCTTCTTAATATCTTTGACAATTTCTTAATGTAATAACATGGCACATTTTCCACCCTGTTGCAACAAATGATATTGAATCCACCGCAAAAGTCTTTTCTTAAAACAGTGGGAGCCCCCTCCATACACACATCAATTTGGATGAATGAATTATTTTGATTCTGTCAGTATAAGTGTCCCTACATAATGACTTATCGAGTCCCGTCGTATTTCACTAAGTCAAACTCCTCAAAATTATCAATGTCACCTTTTACTGTCAAGTAATCTTAAAAAATCTTTACAGCACATTTGCTTATTTTTAATCATTTGTTTTTGTTTAATTTTAAACGTTTTTCCTCTCTAGTTTGAGGGAGTGTCACAGTAGACATGAAGCCTTTCCTAAAAGGGCCACTACTCTAAATTCAAAAAGCAAACATTAGAGAAAATGTAAAGCTTTTATTCGCATTTCCTGAAAATATTTTTGAGATTTGAGAGTTTTACATTTATTTTATGATTAACTATAATGTTAAACTCTGAAGAAATACTATGGGCAAATACATATTACTTTGTGAATTCAGAGATATTTTTTGTGAGTTTTTTTTTTTTTTTTTCAATTACTAAACTGCTGATTTTCATAACCCTTAAAAGTAAAGGTCTATAATCACAATAATGACCATGACCTTTTAGATATGATTATAGTAAAGAACACAGAACATCCCCAAACCTTATGTACGTGTATGCTGTAATCTTTATTTTTTGAATTACAGAGAATTGACTCTTTCAAAATATATCATTCAACATTTCCTATCACCCTGGACTTTTGAATGCAATTGCAAATTAAAAAAAAAACACTTATGCAGAATAAATCTTTAATTATGAATTGATGCATATAGAAAGACAGACAGGAGATGCAAATAAATTTAGTTTGTAAATCAGAAATTCATTGAAGCTTATGAATTAAATATAAATATGGGAAAATGTTTTATCTAAACGTATATTTTCTCTGAATTAAATTCTTAAAATGCAAAATGACCAATTTGGACCCTATTTTTCAATCAAAATTAATTTCGAAAATCACCTACGCGCATTTTTAAGATGGGGGGGGGGGGGGCAATGTCATATATGCGTATTTCTGTTTTGTTCCTTCGATCTACTATCTACGTGTATTTTATACTTTTTTCAATGAGAAAAAAAAAGCCAAATTAAACTTGCGAAGTTAGCTTATAATGATAAAGGAAAAGAACTTAAAAGATGCATTTATATGAATAAAGAACTATGTAGAGTTTTTGTTATTTAACCTTAGCAAACTGAAATGCATAAAAGAGTTCAAGAACAACTTATATAAATCATAATATCATATCCTTTGTAGGGAAAAAACAAAGCAAAAAACAAAACAAACAAACAAATTTGAGTAAAGAAAAACAAAAACATATATTTCAAAAGTGTAAAAAGCATGAATGGGTTTGCACGTATAACAATTATTATTGTATTACTTATAATCTTTTTTTTTAATGAGATTTAATAGAAAAAGTACTCAATTATCCTGGGTGCATATTGCACGTGTTATTAGCAAACTTGCCTTTGTGTTTATTTGAAGCTGATTTTATTTTTAATGAAAATAAAGAGTCTCTTGCTGTGACATTCAATTCGCAGATATATTAACGACAATTTATCAATTAACAATAATCATTTTCATTCTATGTTGATTCGATATATCCCTTTGAACTCGGAGTAAAGACACCACAGTGTATGACATATCTGTTTGATTCGTGTTTTTATTTTACTAGAGAAAGACATTGATGGCAAATTAACAACTAAACCTTATGACAACCGTGATGTCTAGAACTTTTTTATCATCAACTCTCCTTATATGTAGCAATATAATACAATCACCTGCATCTGGAGTTTATGTCTCCCAGTTGATTCGATACGCAAGAACATGTTCAACGTATGAACCATTTCTAAAACGAAGCAAGCTATTGACTGATAGGTTTAAAGCCAACATTTTGCAAATTTTATTGTCGATACAATGGTCTTGTTAGTGAATACAATCTGTTGATAAGAAGAATGTTGAATGACGGTTTGCATACAAATTGTAGGCCATTATTTTCACCCTGTATTGTCTTGTCCGGATTTTTCCGTTTTCCGTTTATTTGGTCATCCAACGGAACACCCGGCAAATGTGACCAGTCGACAGTGGATGCTTACTCCTCCATGGCGCCTGATCTTAACTCTGATATTTTCAGAGGTCCGTGTTTGCACTGCTCCCATTTTTGATTGTGTTGTTCTAATGGACATTTGAGTTTGATTAATGTTCGTTATCTTCGTATTTTATGCTCACACACAACGATGACAGAATTTGTACATTCCTTTTAGGAACATTTTCAAAATGAAAAAAAGTGAAAAAAAAAAAGATATCTTTGAAAGTACTTAAAACGACAGAAACATTATTTTGCATCTTTGGAAGTACTTAAAAACGACAGAAGCGTTTTCAAATTATATTGTATGATATCAAAGGAACTGATGTAAAATCTATTTTATCTTACCTTTGATGCTAAAGTATTCCAAATTTTCACCGACCACATCTATCATAGTTTTGTCATTTTCTGTTAAAAAAGTTTTCAACATATTGCAGGATATTCTCTTCGCATTGTACAAAAATCCCACGCACATTGGATTTCTTCTTTTTAAGCATTCTGCCGAACACAATGTATAAGATAGAGCAACAACAGAGTTAAAATGGTAAGAGGAGCTGTTTGCAACCCCATCCAATGAAAATGCTCTATAGAACGAAGCCTCAAACACCGAATTAAAATCTTTTGCAAAGCTGGTCTGCAAAATAACGACAGCATATAAAATGCAAATAATTGTTTTTATTTGATCCAGCATTGTAGCAACATCAGAACAGGCTAAGTTGTGTGCAACCGCAGTTGATATCCGCACGGCAATGTCATAAGGTGTTTGAATCAGGGATTTTTTGTCTCTGGATGTTATAAAACATTTAAAACAACATCATATAATATGCAATTGTTTTAATGTGTTTGTGATTAATTTTGAATTGATGGCGAAAATGACTTTTAATCTCCTAGATGGAGTAATGAATTTTTAATTTAATGTCTTCCGAGAAACTACAATTCTAATTCAACAAAACAACTAGAAAATACTTGATTCCCACCCACTGTATCTAAGAGGGCACTGTTTGTTCAATGTGTTTTATAAAAGCAGACAACAAAAAAGGTGTGGGGAAGATGCATTTTAAAAATTGTTCTTCCCTGCTCTTCAACAACTAAAATAAACCATGAGACTATACATATGCATTTAACATATCCTTGTCTTTTATCTCCATAAAATGAAATTATTTTTTTGAATTTATTTGAATTTATTTTTTCCCAATATTAATTTGCTAAGTTTTCAATTTAAACACTTGTTTGTCCTACTTTGACGCTTGAGACATTGTGCGTTGATAATGGTTCAGGAAAAGATACATTTCTCTTTTATGTGACAGTATGTAGTATTTTCCCCGTGTACGTTGGCAGTGTCCTGAATATCAAGATTAAGCCTGTTACATTGTACCAGTCGCAGTTTTTGATTGGGATGTAACCTAAATCCCTTGACAAAAAAATCCCACGCACACTTGACCAAAAAAAAAAAAAAAAAAAAAAAAAAAAAAAAAAAAAAAACCTGGGAAATACTGTCTCGTATTTCCCAGGACGGTGGGAAATATAGGTAATTCCCGGGAATTATTGGTATTTCCCGGGAAATACTGGGAAATGTTGAAAAGAACATGTTCTATAATTTTAATATCTGTTGGGATAAAGTCATGTAGTGTATCTTATTAGCTAAGATATTTAATTATTGTCTCTAGTATAAATATTTCTGACTATCCAGTAATGCATCTCCTTACAAATAATCAACAGTAACAATTTATTCCTCTATTAGGCAGTGTTCATTTGTTTCAGTACTTGAGTTATGTGTAGCCTATACAAGTACATAAAAATGAATGCAAATATCCTATTGAAGTTATTTATCAATAATGTAACTGAAGAAGATACAAGAAATTGTAGAAGCCATTTAGCTCTACACAACGTAATTATCACTCAAAACAGGAGCGCAAAACTGTCAAGAGTCAATTTGTTAAAAGAACATGTTGATTGTACAAGTAATAACTACAGTGTTTATAGAAGGACTAAAACAAGTTTATATTGTACTTGTGATTATTTATTGATAAATTAAAGATATACACGCTATATAAACGCGACTTTTTAAGTGAAACAAAATGATTAAATGATTTGAGAAACATGATGTGTAACAAAAAATAATTACTTTCCGCAAAGTTGTACTAAATAAGTCGTTGTAATTACATAACAATTAAGCAAGATCTGCAATTAAGAATTCAGCCTTTTCATGAATATTGATGAAGGAAGTGCGTAAACAGTATATAGACACGCATGTCCGCGGGAAATCATAGACGACGAGGTACGTTGCATTTTGACTACGATTATTGATAAAAGCTTATTATCTGTCATTACACAGTAGATGGTAAATACTGATTGTTTTAAAAGATAAGTGTCTTTAAGCATTAGATGTGTGCAATACGGCATACCTCGTTTTCTTGAAGCCATTTTTGTTTATCAATCTAAAAGTAGCAACGGTGTCACATGACGCATGAATTTTAATAGAGGCATTTCTTTCCTAGTAGGAAAATAAATAATTATAATTTGAGATCTTTCTAAAACGCGTTCATTTTCAACTGTGTAATTTACAGTATTTTCGTAACTTTATTTGGTAAACAAAATAAATAAATTTCCAACTTTATTTTTAACTGAAGCAAGTTATAGCGTGTATATCTTTAATAATTTGTAATGAGCTACAAAACTGAAAATAAACTCCAATTAGAAAAATTTAATTTAATTTAACTTTTTTTCTATTATAGCTGAGGGTTATAGGGAACTAGGAGTGGTTATACATACTACTAACTCTGTGAACCTGTTGGATTGCATTTTAAGAAATATTCAGTATTATTAATATTGTGCTTTTCTGTTTACTTCTACGCAATCTATTTCATTTCTGAATTTGAATGATTCATATATTTAATAAATTAAAGAAATAAAAAAAAATTGAGAAGTTTGTATTCTCGTGTATTTCCCAGTTTAGAGAAAATCAGTAGTATTAACCGGAAATACCGGTATTTACCACTGGTTAATACCGCCACTGGTATTTCCCGGCCAACCCAGCCCTGATGCCAAGGTCATATGGGCACGTCAAGTACCAACTGCAAAATTGCTAATAACCTTTTTACCTTCTTCTTTTGCAACCAAATCTTTTTTTTTGAATTTTGACATTTGGACTGTTTCATCCGTAAGACGATCAAGATTGTAAACAAAATTCATTTCTTTTAATGGGCTTTGTTATTATTCTTTAGATAATACTGGGAAATCTATGAGAATGTTCTATTTATTCGGGATGAAAATCTTTAACCAATTTAATATAGTCGACAATGGAAGGAAACTGCTGTGTATTCAATATAGTTTCAATCTGCTATTTGCAAATTTTACAACTCATCACCTCAAAAAGAATACGCTGGAAAAACCTAACCAAAGCATACTTATAGATATTCTTGTAAAACCTTTATGCACACAGGTTAAGATTTATGTAAGACATAGTATGGACCTTTTTTAAAGACATTCAGCAGAAGAAAAAAATACGCCTAGTGACAGTTAACATTAATTTTCTAAACGATTTGAAACAAAAGGATTGCTAGATAAATATATATAACACAGACTTTTTAGTGAGTTTGCTTCTCATTTTGAAATTATGTATATCAAGCAGGAATACATGTAATGATATAAAAGTTCTTTATTTCGAAAATCTAGACTTTGTTGCTTACGCTCGTATAATTGCAGAATGAGGAAATCTCAGAAAATTTGTAACAAAAATGATAGAGTGTATCTTGCCTTACCTTCTCTCACACGACAATCACGTGACATTTTTAAACCAGATCCTTACATATCTATAAATACTATATAAGATCGGGCACTCAGTCTCAGGAAACGTTACAGTAAGTGTGATAAGATTAGCATAAGTGTTTCGCCTTGTCTTACGCGTCATGTAAAGAAGTGAATTTGTCAACAATCTAACATGGCGGTCTGAGAGAAGGTAAGGCAAGAAACACTCTATGATTTTTGTTACATTATATATTCTTCGCAACACCAAGCAGTTGATTCTCGCTCGTAGGTTTTTTAATTGAACTTAACGAGGTTCGCTCCTGAGCTTTTGAGCAGATTTATATCTTACCCTATATTTCAAAAATTCTGCGTAAAGTTTGAATTCTTACAATAATTTTGGATTCTACAATGCCAATTAAACTATATTCAAGTAAAACTCCATGACTTAATTCCATACCAAAAGCATTAAGTGAGGAACTATATTTTGTGGCGGAAGGTTTTTTAGAAGAAAATGATCATTTTTTCTCTTTCGAAGTATTTAAAGTATGTTAAGTTTGAATTCCTATTTCTCCATGCAGTCTGCACAAAGAGTTATTTTGTGAAGTGAACTGCTTTATACTGGTCCTAAATTATATATTAAATAAACTGTCATGAATTTTATCATCATATTTAATAAATATAGCAAATATATTTTGACAGTCAAGAAAAAATATCCCTATTTTAAGCTTAAAATTAGCACTATTTTAGTAATATCTAAAAATTAACATCACAGACCCCCACTTTTTATTTTCTTTTCTGAATATATAAGATACTTTTAACATTTCTTCTTAAATTCAGTAAAAAGTCATTACTTTCAAATGATATTTTTGCTTGTTAAATTTTTAATGCCAGAAAAATGAAATTTTTTGAGTGCAAAAAGGTCAAATAATTGAACATGCGGAGTAACTTGAAAATTTTTTCGTTGTCACAAATTTTTAGGTGTCTATTCAAGATGACATAAGTCTGTGTTTGTTCCCATAATTTACTTGAATAAAAAATATTGGAGGAAAAACTTCAAAAATTGATTTATGTGTAAGACGTATTTACAGTGCAAAAAGGTCAAACTAAATGCTCTGCAGCGCCAAAAGAAGCCCATTGACCCCCATTTTTTGTTTTGATTTTTAATTAAGCTATGTGTATAAATTCAGAAAATATACTTGATAAAAAATTCTCATTACTTTTGATGGCAGGATCCAACCTCCTTAACAAGCAATACATAATCTTTTAGCGGAAAAATGTGAAATAAATCAGACTGTTTTGCACTATAGCCAAACATCCACATTTACTTTCAGAAGTTGTGAAGTAAATCTGCCCTTCGAGCGTCTCTCAGATTTAGACTGCGGAAGTCGGAATCAGGAGCAAAATTTACTTAATTATAACCCTTTTTTAAAATAACTTAACAGTAAATTTTCAAATATGTTTTCGTTTCATAGATTTGTTTATTCCACTCGTGAAATGAATTCCATATCCAACTACAAAACATTGAATATCCTCTATATACTCCACACAATTTATATTAATATCTTTATCTTTTGACATACTCTACACGATTGATAAAGTATCATTTTATACACCTTATACGATTAATATTAATATCATCTGACATACTCCACACGTTAAATATTAATATCATCCGACCCACACGTTAAATATTAATATCATCTGACCTACTCCACACGTTAAATATTAATATCATCTGACCTACTCCACACATTAAATATCAATATCATCTGACCTACTCCACACATTAAATATCAATATCATCTGACATACTCCACACGTTAAATATCAATATCATCTGACCTACTCCACACGTTAAATATTAATATCATCCGACCCACACGTTAAATATTAATATCATCTGACATACTGCACACGTTAAATATTAATATCATCCGACCCACACGTTAAATATTAATATCATCTGACCTACTCCACACGTTAAATATTAATATCATCTGACCTACTCCACACATTAAATATCAATATCATCTGACCTACTCCACACGTTAAATATTAATATCATCTGACCTACTCCACACGTTAAATATCAATATCATCTGACCTACTCCACACGTTAAATATTAATATCATCTGACATACTCAACGCAATTAATAATATATCATTTTTCATATTCCACATGAATATCGAGAGTATCATTAGACACAGTATTATTGATATTACCAATATTAATATTAGGATCATTTGACAAACTCTAGTTTGGCACAATCAACACGAAAAATGATAGTATCATTTGACATAGTCCACAAAATTAATAATAGTATAATTTGATATACTTTACAATTAATAATATTTTTAATTGATTTATTCCACACGATGAATTTTAGTATCATATAATAAACTCCACACAATTATTATTATTATATGTTTATCATTTGACATACTTAAAATGATTTATATTGTTACAGTAGATTCCTAAATATAAGCAAGGAATTAATTACCGCGTAGTGTCGCTAGAATCAGAACTCGCGAAATATATTTTCTATTTTATCTTTCTTTCTTTTTTTTTTTTTTTTTGATCTGAAATCCATGTAAAATCACTAAATCAACCGTCAATTCGCGAATTAATGTTCTCGCGATATGACGTCTAAGAGCCATTTGATATATTAAGTACTCGCGTAAAAAAAGGAACCTACAGTATTAATAATTATTATTTGAAATACTCAACACGATAATTTTTATCATTTTCTGACATACTAGTACATGTACTGTACACGACTGATAATACATGTAGTACTAGCATTTTTTGACATGTTCCACTCGATCAATATTATTTTACATAATCAGCACGAATGTTGGCATAATATTTTATAATATCACAATGCCATTGCAGCAGAACACGCTGTACTTATTAACTTTATATATTACGAGAGAGACTTCAGATTTATTTTTTCCATCCGTCTATAAAATAGAGACCAGGGCATTATTATTCCACCTGTTGTTCTATAGGTTGACATTATCACTCGAATACATTCATGAAATTACACGTTTTAAATGATTAAAAAGCTGAATTGCCTAAGCTGATTTGTCAATAAGGCCCTTTCCCTTTTAAACGTTCGATTTTTCATATTTACGCTTCAATAAAGGTGACTCCGTCGGGTAAAAACTGAGAAGATATTGGAGTGTTAGAATTTAATCATAGTGAAAAGCTAACAGGTAGACTATTTATTTCATTTTAATGACTTTTATCATATGTGTTATATTTACAATGCTACAGAACAGCTTATTCACAAAGAGAATGAAGAGGTAGAGGAAGGAAGGGCCATACCTATTATGTATAGAGTGCAGCATGTAATATTGACTTCCTTTAGCTTAATTATAACCCGTTATTGGGTTAAGAGTTCTGAACGAGAATTCAAATGAATGTGAAATGCTAATTTAAAGATTAATGAGTACATGTTAGAAATATTGTCCGTATATGTATTTGTTTACACTCTGTTTTCTTTTTAAACTGGGGAATTTAAACATCTGAAAATATTACTGGCGGATCAAGGGCTTAGCGAGGATTTAAAATTTCATATGTTAGAATTAAGAGTGACTTGGTATATTTCGATATAAAAGGATACTTAGCACATAAATAGATTTTTTGGATATCTTGAAAAAGGAATGAAGAAAAAAAAAAAGAAATACGAGAAAAATGAAATTCAGCAACATAAGATTTTTTGCTGTTTTTTTTCTTTGACTTTGAGTGTCTTACGTAAACTTTTCTCCTTTTCGACTTCTAATGGGCCATTGGGTTTATTCCGGCAAAACTTTCCTTAAACTATATCTATGAAGGGAACCGTAAAAAGGCTTTAAGAATAATTAAAGCTATATATGGCGTAACTGAACCTAAAAATAATAATACGAAATTGAGTGCAGATAAACATTGAATGGTTTGAATCGAAAAAAAATATATCATGATATATTTTAAACTTCCAAAATTTAAAAGTGCGAAAATTGTTTCGCAGAGCAAGTCAAAATTTAGAAATTGACAAATGTGAACTTGATAATGTTGTAGTCATTTCTCTATAAAATGACCAAAAAATTCTAGATGTTCATAGTTAGAACTATTAAATCGTTTCACATGTTAAATATTAATTTTTTCTTCGTTTAAAAGTTTCATAAGTTCTTATTGAAAAAAGCCAAAAAAGATGACGTCGTAGAACGTCACGGACTAGCAACAAACTGCACAGTTTTGTGTTGCACTGGGGAAACTTCAGAAAAAACTCTGAAAAACCTGAAGGAAGCAATATGTGAAAGAGAGCCGTGCATTTGAGTGTAAATGCATGACACAGGCCAATTTTGAGTGTGAGCGACTCTGCCTCAGACAATATACTATATAAGGAAACAGATAATCAGTAAAAATATAATCGAAAATGTCAATAACGTCATGGTAAGAGAGATGGGCGCTTCGCTGTTGCGGATGTTATAAAGGCAAACCAACTTGTGCTACTGAAACAGTTGTTAACAAACTAAATGCAAGAGGTTTAGAAAGTTTTTAATAAGTGGGTATGGCGCCAGACTGTGTATGTGAAACGTATCTAGCAATTTTTTTGAGAAACTCGTGACGTTATGTTTTCATTTTGACGTTACAATGCTGTTAAGGACATATGCAACGTAGCTTACCTACTGATAATTTTTCGAGATATTCTTAATTTAAGATTATAGTACCATCAGATGTTCGTAGACAAAAAATCAGCATGCATTACCAGGGGTTTTGAAAAGATATCAATTGATGAAAATTCTTGTATAATTCAAAGAAAAATATACAAAAATTACTAAACATATATTCTTATTGTTTTGATTATCCAAATTTGTTTTAGAAAAAGTGTACAATAGCATATATTGACATTAAAATGTAGGACACATGAACTCCAGGGAAAAATACAATAAAGTTCAAATTACGTTGCGTATGTCCTTAAATGTGCTCCTTGGCAATAAAAACGTAAGTTTTATAACTTTGTAACATAAGTTCCATTTCAATATATGAGTTCAAACTTTTCAAATCAACAAAAAAATACATATTTTTACATATGATAATGTGCTATTCTTGAATATAATATAACAGAGACGACTGACACTGTCCGTGAACTTTTTGAACAGCCCTGTAATTTCATTTTCGACCAATTTCATATCTTTGTTTTTTTAAATCTACACAGAATTGAAACTAGAAGCCTCTATCTATCACTTTTGATACCGCATCCAATTTTCTATCGAGCTGTGCGAAGTTATTTATTATCTTTACAATTTGCTGAATTAATTATTGATGTAATTTGCAACATAACAACAGAAACAATAAATCATGTTCATCGATCCCGGGCTATTGATGATATCTTTATTAATCCTCGGCCATGGTGCCCGTTCCACCGAGAGCTATCAGTTGGAAAAATAGATTTTTCTTGGACATAGCAGTCAAAGATAAAAAAAAAGGGTATATTTATAGTATGGATAATTTGTTAGCCGTCGTAGCATATCGACAAGAAAGGTACAGTACTTGCATTGTGCAATATGAAATTCTTTGAGTGTTTATTGTTTGACGTCTTTTTACAGTGTTATATACGTGTTTCTGTTATATTTTTATCTTTAAAAAATCAAACTATTACGAGAGAAGATACTGCCATAAGTTTGAATTTAAAAGACGTTAATAAAAAGTTTTCACTAGAATTGTTCACAGAATTTATTCCTGTAAGTAATACAAGGTTCTTAACGTTTACAATTGTTTTTACAAAAGGACTAAAATCGATCTTATCTTTTTTTTTCATATTAGAGGAGAGCATATGGTCAAATATGTAATAAATTTCAAAAACGATCAAAAAACCTAAAATACACAGCCTTAAAAATTATCAAAAAACATGTACATTTGTATATAATCTGTTTACTTACTATTGTTCGAGCATCATTTAAACAATTTGAAAGATGATACGAAATTGAAAATTCAAGTAACTACAGTTGTATATTCTTGTTTTTCATAGTAATTTTCTTGTACTGCGCTTCTATACATGTAACTATCCAATTCCTGAATTTTTCTATAACAAGGAAATAACTCTTGTGTCATTTCTGAGAACTCGGGGATTGTAACAAATTTATCTTTCATGAGAAAATCTGACATATCTTTTCTTTTTTTAAAGCAAAACTTCAGATGAGATGGACTTGCTGTACAAAAGACACTAACTTCCATCTCCGCCTGCGAATCAGGGGATTCTTGCTAAGATGAGAGTGAAACATCGCAGGAACCTGTTGATATTATTTGGGATTTGTGCTTTACTTCTGTATATCTATACGGCATTTTTTCATGTCAAAACAGAGGAAGAAAGTGATTACGAAGTTCCTCAAAGATTATTTAAGTTTTCCAAAACTGCTGAAAGTCCAGATAGAGGAACAAAATATTTTCAGAGAAAACGTCTCCCTCTAACAACAGTGGGTTTCCACCGTGATCCGTTGCCTGGATACGAGAATTTATCCTACCGAGAACTTAAAAATAATCCCGTGCCAAATACAATTCATTATGTGTGGTGTCATAATAGAACTATTTCTTTTGAACACTATCTGTCCATTTTAAGTGCTTGGAAGTTCATGAGACCAGATGCCATAGAATTTCATAGCATTTATCATTTTAATACAACAGAGAAAAAATACGATATGTGGATGACGGAACTGAAAAGAACCGTTGCGGGTTTCGCCATTCATAAAATTCCCGAAAACTGGGATGGGCAAGAAAATGGTTGTGGGGTGTGGTTTGGAATAGCCGTACTTGACGACAGAGGGGGCATATATTTCTCCGAGAATCTCTTGCTAATGAAATCAATCTCATCCTATAGGCAGCATAATTTTAAGTTAGGACTGAACAAGCATGCTGATGAAGTGAGTTTTATATTTGCAAAAGAAAAAGACAAAAGACTTCGAGAGTTGGTTAAAATGAAGCGAAGTCAAGATTTGTCTCCAAATAGTTTCAATGATACAGTCGTCTGCGAAATTGTCCCAAAAGGAAAGGTTCTAGATATACCGGAGGATATCGAATGTTGCGAGATATCCGGTATACACCCTGTAGATATCATGTATTCGAATACCACACTAGCAGCCAGGGCACGGCAAGTATTTTACGGCGATTCCGCCATTATAAAAGATACTCCAAAACTTCCGGGAAAAATACCAAAAATCGTTCATCTTGTGTGGTACCGAGAAAAAGAGATGGATTTCATGATGTATCTCAGTCTTAGAAGTGTAATGACTATACTTAAGCCAGAGAAAGTATTTATACACGGTGATAATCTTTTACATGGGAAGTATTTCGATAAATTCAAGAAAGATCCTAGATTACATACAGTATACAGAGAGGTCCCAGACATGATATTTGGTCACAAAGTTCTTTATACTCAACATAAAAGTGACATAATTCGAGCCGATGTCCTGCTTAAATATGGAGGTATCTATATGGACTGGGATGTACTCTGGCTGAAGCCTATAGACGATCTAATCGATAAAGGTTACGACGCCATATTTAACTTTGATCACATGACACGTAATGGCTACCCCGATGTTATCAACCTCGGTGTTTTCCTAGCAAAACAACATTCTCATTTTGTTAAATACTGGCAGGACAGTCTTTTGAATTACCGTTCGGAAGATTTTTATCATAATGCACTCGAACTTCCATACAAGACTTACGAGAAGTATCCTCAATACGTACATGTAGAGCGCCATCTACAGGTCATGTGCTTCCATCTGAAGTGTCATCCCACTTTCAGGAATCATTATCATGAGTTTGACCGGGAACAGTACTTTGACTGGAAGAAGGAGGCCTACGCTATTCATTTTACGCATCCAGACCCTCCTGATTACGCCAACGAATCTGCGCTTAAACAGGGTTACAATAAGTTTGCACAGATTGGGCAGCATATATTAAATCAGAAATACGAATATGACTGAAAATTAACTTCAACGAATCATTCATAAAATCAGTCAAACACGTGTAATAAAACACTTTTCAACATTTTTATTTTCATTTTTTGCATAATATTCTACTCAATAAGAATTTTTTTAACCCCACCATTTGAACATAAAAATATTCAATGGATAAAATTATGCAAGATGACTTAATTGGAATAAAAACACATTAATACAGGTTACACTCTGAAGATGACAACCATCAGTTCTGCTCCGTTCACAGATTTTCGAAGTAGAACGTCATAAATCATTTCAAAGAGTACAACTGTACTTGAGCGCTTTTATTACAAATTCAATGATCAATAAAATAATTATGGCACAAATTATACCGGGACTCTCAATAAAGAAGAAGGTACGGTCTCAATACCAATCTGGCCCTGGATTTTTTTTTTAAATATCAAAATTATTGAGAGAACTGAAAACTCTTTCTGAATTGCAGAAAGTTCTGTTGAATTGAAGAAAGTTGCAGAAGACACAATTTTCGGTTCTTTCAGATAATACAGACCACAATTATCGCCTGCAAAGATTTTAAGTTATGTGATTTCTCAATTCTTTTGTACACAAAATATCTGAAACTTGAAGTAGGCGACGGCTGTGGAGACTATTTTCTTAAGGAAAATAACCCCTTAAATGAGTCATATTGAGGCCTCAGTGAATCACAGTAGTTTTTCAGAACAACCATCCTTTATGATTTATTCTCTCCTGAATTATCACTTCCACATAATCAATTAATATTTAAGCAAATTTCAGAACTTTCTGAAAGCATAAAATTTTTAGGGCATAATAAAACAAAAAACCGTACCTACTTCTTTATTTAGTACAAATACCATTTCTGCTTGAACTTTCAGTAAGGCGTGATATTCTCGGCTATACATAATTAGCGTCTCTCAAATAGTAACCTAGATTCTCATTGGTTGCCGGATTAGCTCATCAACAGTGAAATTTACACAGCTTTTCATTCACGGGTGAAATACACATGGAATAAAAATGGTTCAGACGTCAACGAGTCACGCAAGGAACCGGTTTTATCGTTTCTTACAGTAAAGAGGTGTGGCTCATGTCATCTCATTGTTTGTTAACAACAATCTAAAGTTGCTAATGTTATGAATTTCTTAACAAATGAGAATCTAGGTCAACATTTGAGAGACGCTAATTATGTATCGCCGAGATTGTCACGCCTTACTGAAAGTTCAATCAGATATGGTTTTTGTACTACAAGTAGGAACAATCCATATTTCAGGACTTCCTGTGAGTAAAGAATTTGACATGTATTCTGTTTCTTCACTTGATTACCGGTATTCAACGTTTAAGAAAAAATATTGTACATTTTATTTCTGATATATCTGAAACTTATTGTTTTTTGGTCTCCTCTGTTATTTTCTTTACGGCCTCCAGAACTTCTGTTAAGTTGGCGTGGTCACCGAATTCCATCTCATGATGCTGATAATAGATTCCATTTTGTCCAGGGCCGATTACAAACACGCCTAAAGGATTATACCACACGATTACAGAAAATAAAAAAAAAATATGTTCCGATACACAACCAGATCAGAAGAACCTAAAATTATTATATTACATTTATACTTGGTTGATTCATTCATTAACGAGAAATATCAAAGAGGTTTGAAAATAGTAAGAATTGTACAATACAAGGTTATTAATTATTATTTGTGCATAATTTCGTATTCAAGTACGTGTACAAACTATATGTACTATATGTAAACTTTCATAAACTTTTCGAAATCGTTAGAATTTTTGTATATTCCGCTAAAAACAAAAAGTGGCACATTTCTGGTCCCAGAACGACTTATTTGATCAGTTGACATATGATAAAAAATATTTTTAACTTCATTTATGAATTTGAAATTAAAGATAACTTAATCACTTAGTGAAAATTCATCAGGCACGAAGGGGAGGGGGACGTGCCCCCAATAATTTTGCCAATATATAGAATACTATAGGAAATAGCTACTACATGCGTGTGCCCCCTCAATAAAAACGTCTGATGACCTTTCTTCTTCTTCTTTTTTTCTGCTTGTCAAGGAATTTTGGGTAGTTGATAGTGCCCCCCCCCCCCCCCAACCGAAAATGTATGGCTGTGCCCCAAGAACTGAAATTGCTTCCTACAGGCATGATGATGTTTATTAACTGAAACTGAAAAGCATTATTTGTAATCAACATTACTCTTGAGAGGTACATCGCTTCATTCGCTTGACTTCGCTACCTCTTCAGTGTAATGTACATATTTTGACATACATGTAATTATAAGTCTTCGTTGCTACAAGTTTCTGAAGCCAAATGTTTTCATACAATGCGTCTGTAAGGTAAGATATGTGACCATAACGGTGCATTTAGAATCAGTAGTTAATTTCTAATCTGTCATCGTAAGAAACCCGTAGTTGATTTTGCTGCTTTTCTTTCTATATTAACCACAGGGTTTGGTAATGTACGATGTTTTCCTAGCTCGGCCAGTAAAAAAATCGTATTTAACCTGCTAATTTGTCACCAATATTTTTCGTTATACGTACACACGTTTTCTACGTACAAACTACGAACAGTTCTACGTACGAACAATTTCTAGAACAGAGCAGGCTATTGACAAATAAGTTAATGATACAAGGACTAGAGTCTAAATTTCGCAAACTCTATGGTCGACCCAGCGACCTTGTTTGCAAATACAATCTGATTGACAGGAGATGTCTACTTCTCCCACCTCTGTTTTCAGAGGTCCGTGTTGGCTCTGCTCATAATTTGTAGTGTGAGAATGGTCACTATTCGTTTTCATTAAATTCACATACAAACAAACGAAGACTCGTCTATCATATGGAGCTTGACCTCTAAGAGTTATCGTCAAAATGATTGTATTTATTTAATGTTTCCTGAAGATCGGAACGGGACCTGTGCATATAAAAAGGGTTTTTTTTTAATCTAAGAGATCTGCCATTTAAATCTGTTTTATTAAATTTGCAGGTGCCTTTAAATACATACGCAAGTTGAACGTAACAATTAAATAACAGTCGGCTGTGCAACAGATGTCAGTTAAATGTGTCGAGAATTACTTAATTGATTGAACACTAAGGCAATATTTCATGATGATAATGCAAAGTTGCAAAGTATGGTGAACCACAGATAATTTTAGTTAAAGATATATCTTTAGTTTAAGAATTCAAATTTTGAGTAGAGAGATAAAATGCTCTCATGAAAAGAAAATATGCTTGAGTTTACAAATAGATGAAAAATAATAGTCCTTACCTCCTAGCAAACTCCAACACTGTTCTTATCAGGCACTGCCAAGATGAAACCTAAAATCATCTTCTCTAATCCTACCTTCAACAAGAAGCCTTCCCTCCTAGAAGAACCCCTACTTTAAAGTTACCACATATTCTCTTCTCCAACTAAAGCTGTCTTTTTTGTTTGATTCACCCCCCCCCCCCACCAAGCTTAAGACACCTCTGCACCCTTCCTCCATACTTACCTCCCAACAGAAATCCTTCCCCTTCCAGATTTCCTGGAATCCTTTTCTTAGACAGAGTATAGGCATGATGAATGAAATTCAGTCTTAGAAGTCCCAGCATTGAGGACCATCTCTGCTTTGGACCGTAGAACAATTTCTTTATGAAGAAAATATTGAATTAGTTTTATATAAATATCTGAGTTGTTAATGAAGATTTCTATGTAGGGAATTTAAGTGTAATATGAATCCAAGAAAATTTCGTATAATAGAAAAATTACCTGTGAACAGTTAAATCCAAACCAATAATAAATAAAAGATTTAATTCCATTATGTGAAGTGTTTCTTCGTAATTTATTATTTTTCTTTAAATAACCTGACCTTAGTAAGTGTTTCAAAGGGAAAAATGATTAAAAAGGCCAGAAAGGAAGGATATCCTTAAAATGGGACATAAACATGTTCTACACATTGATGTTCAGTACTACATTTAGTTCTGAGGAATGACATTACTCAGTGTGAGGCAAATGAGACAGAAATGAGAAAATCTAAATGATGCTTGATTACCTCAGGATCAAGGTAGACGTCCCCCTTAAAGTAAGGCCTAAAATCTTCAACACCCAGAGTCTCCTTGACTACAGCATGTAGGGAAACTCCATGGGCATCCAACTGTGGCTTCAGAGAGGACAACCCCATGGCCTCCTATAGAGGGATATACATTGTACAGGTGACTATATTAGTAGGAGGATGAGAATGCCCTGTACTGCTCCAAGTGCAGTCCTGGCTGGGAGGAGATTTTCATGAATAAATATATGTAGGTTAGAAAGTACAAAAATAAGTACATGCCTCCAGTGCAAATTCTCATTGGCACTCCTTGGCTTGATATATTGAAATAATTTATTAAGAACTAGTGAACTTATTTAATAATAGTTAGTATAAAAGTTTAGATTAATAGGTATTGATCACTAATTGCTGTGAAAGAATGGCACACGTTTCTTTACTTTTACATACAATAAATGTTTCACATGATTGATATGTAATGCATGCATTTATTGCTTGGAAACATTGCTTGCGGCACACTAACCTCTCTGCACATGGATCATCCGGGTCTCCGGACAGCCATGATCACCACACCGTGGTCTTTCCATAAGTCCTTGGCCTACAATTGTTAGCCTTAACTTTTATATTTTGGCAGGAGAAGAAAAAATATACTAATTACTTTCAAAACAATCGAAAGCCGGCTGATTACTTTCATCAAATCACATCTGTTACAATGTAACAAGAACATATTTGTTAACAAAGGAATGATTTACACTTTCAAATCATCTTAGGCCTGTTTTTTCAAGTATTGCAAAAATTGCTCGCAAAAAAGCTCATCAAATTCAAATCTCTCTCTCTCTCTCTCTCATACTCACATTAAATGTCTTAGGGTTGGCCTCTATAGTCTGAAGTTTTCCTTTCTCCAAATACTTGAGCGTGGCTTTTTCTGCAGTCATGAACCACGTGACCGGTAGATTACCAATCACGGCAATTCCCGCCGTTAGACCGGCAAATCCCATCAGTACTTGCGAAATACCCATGCTGCTTTATCAGGTTGG